CAACAGTGTCCCACTAGAGTGTCTCACAAGAGTGTCCCTTAAGAGTGTCCTACAGGAGTATCCCACAAGAGTGTCCTACAAGAGTGTCCCACAAGAGTGTCCCACAAGAGTGTCCCACAAGAGTGTCCCACAAGAGTGTCCCACAAGAGTGTCCCACAAGAGTGTTCCACAAGAGTGTCCTATAAGAGTGTCCCACAAGAGTGTCCCACAAGAGTGTCCTACAAGAGTGTCCTACAAGAGTGTCCCACAAGAGTGTCCCACAAGAGTGTCCCACAAGAGTGTCCAAAAAGAGTGTCCCACAAGAGTGTCCCACAAGAGTTTCCGACAAGAGTGTCCCACAAGAGTGTCCTACAAGACTGTCCCACAACAGTGTCCCACTAGAGTGTTTCACAAGAGTTTCCTACAAGAGTGACCCACAAGAGTGTCCTTCCCAGAAGAGTGTCCCACAAGAGTGTCCTACAAGAGTGTCATTTGGATGTATTAGTTTTTCGAACGTGTTTGCATTCGGGTTCGTGGGCTCCATCTTGTTTCTAGCTTCCAAAGTTTCCAACAAACGTTTTTTCACAATTTACTGCAATTTATGGCATTGTTGACACGTGTTTCCCGGAAAGCAGCACTGCAGCTACCCTCATCCATGCCTCCAAAATCTGCAAATTAGGGGCTCCCCTCCACACCTCCCCCATACCTTCGGTATTACATTCAAAGCACTTTCCGTCATCAAGCGACTATGTTTAGCAATCATTTGGCCTGCAGCAAAATAAGTTCAGGCGCCCTGTACCAACCTCGCCAAAGTGGAAGATTCTGAATTCTTTTTGACGATCTCACTCGGCACGTGTCTTGTACAGCGGTACTGAGGCGTTGGCGAGTCACCACATGTCTTGTCATGGTTCGCTTGGCCTTGGCGGTGTGTGGCACCACGGGCCCACTCACCTGTCACGCAAAGCGCCAAATAAAATGACAAATGGTCCGAATAAGGATGTGTGCTGTGATTTGTTTGAATTCTTGTTAAACGCAGGCCAAATTGAATTACTTTTAGCAATGTTTATCAAGAGAATAGTAGTAGGCGGTAGTGCCGAAGGCGCCGAGGTTTAAAAATAGAATTAAAATATAACCTAACTATTACAGTGGCCTCAAACCTAATCAAAGGAAGTTTAGCGTACGAAACTTCCATGTTACGGACATTCAAGAACTGTTCATACACCACTCATCAATACACCACTCATCAATACACCACTCAACATACACCACTCATCATACACCACTTATCATACACCACTCATCATACACCACTCATCAATACACCACTCATCAATACACCACTCATCATACACCACTCATCATACACCACTCATCAGACACCACTCATCAGACACCACTCATCAT